AGTCTCTGGCCATCAGCGGACGGCTGCAGACAAGTTCTCTCAGTAGTAAACTTGTCTTCATCTCCTTTGTTGTAGTTAAATGCCACTGAGTTGGTTCTGACTCACAGCGGTGATGGTGGTTATGTGTCGTGGAGTCAGTTCCAACTCATAGCGCCCCTGTATATGGTTTCCAAGGAGCTTAAATGGCCAACTTTGTGGTTACAATACGTGTCCTACAGTGCCACATCAGGACTAGATTCAATCAAAACAGTAGTTTCTGAGCAGATCTGCTGGCCCAGTTAACGCCAAGACACAAAGTTCAGCTCAGAAGGCATGGCGACTATTTCTTGGGATTCCAAAGGAGTAATCTTGATAGATTTTCTTGAAAGTCACAGGAAAATCATGGAGGCAACTTAGGAAGAAGTTTTAAGACTGTTGAAAACTGCATTGTTAAGAAAAAGACCAGAAAAGTTGCATTAAGACCTGAGTATTCACTGAACGAACGAATTAAAAGACACCTGACTGATAGAAGGAAGCAGAGAGAGCTACACTGTCCCTGAGGACACAGACTGATCCTTGAGAGCACTCAGACACCAGACAGATGTTCCTGTAGGTGCTTGGAGTTCGGACAGTGACCCAGGTCAACACCTCCTGACCTGTCTCCCTTTTTTCTGCTTGCAGGTACCACCTGTTGGGTTCAAACCCATCCTGGAACCATATAAGCATAAGAAGACAACCAAAACCAGTTGCCAAACAGTCCGTTTTGAATCATGGGGACTCTGTGTGTGAGAGTAGAATTGTGCTCCATTGAATTTTCAATGGTGGCTTTTGGAAAGTAGAACTTCATGTCTTTCTTCCGAGGCAACTCTGAGTGGACTCATATATCCAGACTTTTGGTGAGCCATTATGAGCATCAACCATCAAGGACTCCACACAGACAGCAGAGACCTGGAATCCTGGACACACAGAGGACACACAGATGTCTCCCACACATCCTCCTCACACCCCACAGCCGTGGATTCACTCAGGCATAAACCTTACTCCCTCTCATCTTGCCAAATCTCTGCCGCTCCCATTGGGCCTGACTTTCTAGAACCTGTTTTGCCTACAAATTACTCTTCTTTGGGCTGGCCTTCTCCCTCTGGGTTCCAGTCAGGAGGGGCTGCCCAAGGGCGCAGGGTGGAGCTAAAAATTCCATTCCTGGAGAGTGGAGTGTGGCCAGGTAGGAATCTGGGTCTTATGATGGCCCTGTGGAAGATGGGGGCTTTACAGGTGTTAACTGTGGTTTATGTTTCAGGAACTGAGGGTTAGAGAGTAGGTAACCAGGCCCCTTCAAGTGTGGATGTGAGGGTGTGTAAATATGAATACAAATGATTCTATGAATGTGTGTGTGAGTGGGGAAGTATGTGAGGACGTGTGTGTGCAAGTGTGTGACTGTAGGTTTGTGTGTGTTTTTGACTCTGGTTACCTTCAGGTACCTTTGGTTCTGTGCCACTGTGTCAGTGCCGACTCATAGTGACCCTGGACAGGGTTTCCAAGGCTGTAAATCTTTATAAGAGCAGAAAGCCTCATCTTTCTCCCAAGGAGTAGCTGGTGGGCTTGAGTAATTTGAAGGAATCATGGAGGAGTAATTTGAAGGAATCATGGAGATGCAGTGTGTTAAGCATTAAGCGTTGGGTTGCTAACGGAAAGGTCTACAGTTTGAATACTCCAGCTGCTCTGCCGGAGAAAGATGAAATAGTCTGTGTTTTAAAAAATTTGCATCCTTGAAAACTCTATAGAGCAATTCTATTCTTACTTCCTTTTTCCTTGGTCCCTCGCACTCTGGCGGGGGAGAAGGGTGTCTAAAGAATGAGTCCCCCTGAGTTGCCATGTCTCAATCACACACAGACAATAAGCATTCACTTAGAAGTTCTTTGTTTCAAAGCGAAAGTACACTTCAAAGAGAGAAGGCAGTCTTTCTCCACGAGTGGAGAAGATCTGGTGGAATTGGGGAGCATTGATTAAGTCAAATTAAAAGTTTACTTCAAAAAGAGAAGTGGGTCTGTCTCTATGAGTGGAGAAGACCCTGTGGGATTGGGGTGCAGTAGGTCATAAGAGTATGGGGTCTCCTCCTCCAAGAGTGGGTTAATATGTATTGATTAGGAAGAGTGGTATGTTGAATATTCATTTGATTTTTAGCAAAGGGTCACAGGCTTCTTGGAAATGGAGTGCTTTTTGTAACTGTCAATTCTAGGTGCTATTTTTATGGGCTCTCTGTCAAATTTTTCCTCTTTGCAACCAGTTACTTTTCTCTATCAGGGTTTCAGGTCCTGATATCTTTATCTCTGTCTCCAGGTTGTTCCTCTCAACGTTACTATTCCTGTTGGACTAGAGATATCTTCCCCTTTTCTTGACCCCTGTCTAGTAGGAGAGGGCTCAGGACAAAGGGGTGGATGGATATGAAGCCACGGTAAGAGAAGCCTAGGACTCAAGGGTCCTAACCTGTCCCTGACATTCTGGTCTATAGGATAGCCGTTGTTACTCCGAACTTTGGGCCAGATATCCTGGAGTGATTAAGTCTAATTAATAACCATGTCAGATAAACAAAGAAAGAGGAAAACCTTTATTATTAAGAAGTTGACTCCTGGAACAACTCACAGCAAACAGGGTGGCTTAATTGGTGTTCCACTAACTCTTTGTTGCAAGCAATATTTATACTAGTTTTCAACAATGCTAATTAGCACAAAATGCTGGTGAAATAAACGCATCAGAAGGGAGCACATGATTAACTCTCTCAGTGCCTGTTTGGCCAGATCAGAATTTATATAAACAGGGACCAGACTCCAGCCGGAGCTAGGCAACCATTCACATTATAATCTATGAAACAAGGACACATTGTATATAAG